ACACACACACACACACACACGAGTGCCGTGTGAGCCGAGGTTTTAACTTACAAGTTGGAGGGCGATCAAGAGCTTTGGCAATCTCGGTCATATTTGCAATGACTGTTTTGATACCGTTGCCTTTGCCTTCGACCTGCAACAACACAGCATTGCTTAGCGCATTCCATTCTCTGCTCCCTATATAAACCATCTAGCAGCATCAGGAACAGAATAACGGTGATACCTTGGCCTGCAGACGGGGCATTTTGTAACGGTAGAAGGGATCCAGGACGTTGCGGTTGATATTGATCGCCATTGCTGCCCAATTTCTTCCACTTTCTGGTTAAAAATGAGTGCCGTAAATTCCCTACAATATGCGCAATGTTAAAATTTCATGTTGCTCCGTCATCTTCGTGTGATCTGAGTTAAATATTTCGTTATCACTGATGCCATCCTACCTTTGGCGAGTGAAAAAGGAAACATGAAAAAAAGAATTCTTTTAGGCAGAAAAATGAATGAGTCCCCAACAATAACGACGACTGCTATTATCATTATGAAAAAGACCGTTAAAACTGGGGAAAAAAAAAGAAGGAAAGCGATTACTCAAGTAAACGGTAGTTGTAATCAGGAAAAAAAAAGCGCAACATGCGAAACCAAAAAAAAAGAAAGAAACCGAAAAAAAGGTATGATCTCTGAAAAAGGCATTTGTTTTTTATTAATATTAATTGTACCTGCAAAAATGAATGATAAAATTTTACCGTATAAAAAAACGCTAGTGTGAGAGGAATGTGTCAGTTTCGAGATGAGTCCCCAAGCACTTCTCTCAATGGGTTACAAACATCTATTTGACGAACTGCTGCAGCTGGAAGGTAACTGTGTGATCGCCGTCACTTCGTGAGAGACTGTGCGTAATAATTAATCAGAGGTATGCCAATAGAAGTAAAAATCGCCAACAAGCGCCAGTGCTGTGAGTGAAATAAAAGCATTTTGCGCATCGGCGCTCCTTTTATTCATTTCTGCTTCTTTTTTTTATGCAAATTTCATCGCCGAATGCAAATTTCCAGCAGCAGCAGCAGTCGAGTAGTGCCCCCCTTCCCCCCTCCCCCCTCCCACCGCCCCGGTCTGATCTAGAATTAATAATAATAATAATAAAAAGCGCATGAATAAATGTGATCATCATGCCCATACCTATACTAAAATTGTTAGGAGAAAATATTGGTAGATATGCGTTTGGATGTTTGCTCGTACAGTGTGTAACCTCCAAATGGCATACGTAAGCTGCAGCAATCGAGCAATGCGACTGTTCGCCACACGATACTTCACCAGTCTCCTTCAGTTTCTTGCGTTTTCGCGACAACCTCCCTGGAAGAAAAAACACCGTTTACCTGGCTGCTTATCGTTTCCTCTAGGCACCCCTATTTCATTGGTGGTATGACAAATTTTTGAAATCCTAATTCAAATTTAAAAAAAAATCCAAATTAAAAGAAATCCTAACTTTAAATCCAAAGCAAATTTTTAAAATCCAAATCCCATCTCACAGGTTGTAATATGTAAAAAATGTGCCGTAAAAAGGTGCAATGGGAAAAGAAGTGAGAATATGGCAGAGACCACGACTTACCTTCCTGAGGGTTGTCAACCATAAAATAACAAATGCTGAAGTTGTTGTTGGGGTGTAAAAACATGCAACTGTTCGCAGCCAACAACTTTCTGCTCTCCAGAGGATCCACACGAATTCCTGCACAATCCCAAGTGGTAAAATTAACAACAGATTGATGCAACACAAGCTGTCGCGAAAAGTATTGCGGATGAAATCGCTAACAAGCAACAATCTGACTACATTTGCTCCCAATCCTAAGTTCCGAAAGACCGATCTTAGGTTGTGAAGTCGCAAAAATGAACATGATAAGTAGCGTGGCTCTTTTCTGCACCGAACACTGCGAAACCCCTCCCCCCATCACCTCAAAAATGCTAGAAAAAGAAACGGAAGGGGCCCTCGAACGTGCACTACCCATTTCCGCAGAATGCATTTTTATGTTCTCCCTTCCCTTCCGTCTCTTCTCCGCTACATTTTCCCCCACTTTTTGTTCTCCAGTAATCACAAAGCTCATTTTCTTCATTTCCCCCTATCATGGCTTATAAAAATAGGCTTATTTTCAGCATGGCGGGTGGAACGCTGTGCTCGCTCTCATCCACGTCACTGCTCTGTCTGTGTTTACAGCTAAGGGATGAAACAGAAGCCGCACACTGGCCTGCCCGTTCACTGCAACCTTAGTGATATTTTTTTGCACAATTGATGGATGTCACGTAGACAAGAGAAGCCGCCCTGAAGCAGACTTTCAGCAGGGGCAGATGTAGATGGAGAGAGGCAGCTCAAGACTATAGAAGTCCGGCAAATAACTTCATTGCGGTGCATGGGAATATATCTCAATAACAAATTGAATGAGCATTATCGCAACGTTTCGAATTTTCCAGAACATAAAGCAGCGCCTAAATTACAGCGGAGGGAGCAAGGCGCTGTGTGATACGACTGAAGATAAATCCAGAAATGAGTGCTGTGCACGATGAAATTTGGTGTCACTCAGTTTAAACAGAATAAATATTAGGCTGTGCAGCATTGGCGCACATTTATGACAAGTTCGGTGTGTTCTTGCGATCGGATGAATACGAGGCAACACAGCGAAGGGGCTGGTCTGATCGGGTCACCATCGGGGAGCTGCTTTCCCTGAGCTATACATCACATGAAAGGCACACGATCCTCGTTCGCTTCGTTCTCGAATTATCATTTCACAATGTGCACTTAGAGATGTAAGGCCACACATCACGAAAGAGAGGAAGGCTAGCGCAATCTGATTT